CAGCTGGCAATGACTAATCACTCACTAATACTCATTATTTAATCAACTAATATATCACTAATTATGATCAATGTATTAACAGGAACATAACAGAGAAGTGGTGTTGGGTCGACAATTAGACTTGATCGGTTGTCGGGGAAAGGGGTTGGCATATTTAGGAATTAGGAGTGGCCCAAATGGGCAGCTTGTTTACAATGGTAGTTGTGGCCCTTGTGGGTAAAAGGGGTGATGACAATTAGTTATGTGTGACAGCGCGTCCCGAAATATATTTTCGATAGCGTGAAATGACCATTTTGCCCTTGAACGTTGTGTGGTTGTTTGTGTAAATGGGCTAAGCTTTTGGACCAATCTATTTTTCTTCCTAACTTTTTGGACCTAATTGGAAGTAAGATTCTGTTGGTTTTGTTTGGTTGCCAACTGGACCACACTCACACACACACACATCCAATCCCGTTGACCCTCCCTCTTTCCCCTCCTTCTTAGATTTTTCCATTCGTCTATACACTCGTATGGTCATCTCCTCAACTCTTGTCATCTTTCACGGATCGAGTTGTTTAAGACCACCATCGTACTCCTCGTGACTTCACGAGTTGAGTGGTACCTTTGGGACGACAAACGGTTCATGGGAACTCGAGTTACCCGAACTCCGGCGAGGGGTGATTTTCCTCCAACATGATCACGAGGGTTTTAAGTGGTTTTGAGACTTAAGAAGGTAATATTCTTGCTTTTCTAACACGTTGGATCAATTTTGGAGTGGTTTTGACGTAAGAACACTCGGGTTTATATAGTTGCAGGGTTTGGCCGGTTTCCCCGAATTTTTCCGGCAAGATTTCGTTGGTTTTAGGACGTCAAAGTGGTAAGACTGTGTTCTTCTCATCCTAAGCTTCATTTTGGTGAAAATATGAATTTTGGTTGAGAAATGAAGAAGATATGAAGATTTGAAAATTTTCCAAAATCTAGCAATCGCAGACGACGGCCGACGGTGCTTCCGGCGAGGATCATTGGAGAATACGAAGAATATTCCGCCAACTTTGACGGAATATATTAACGGCGTCAGGTATATTTAACAGTATATTTCATTATTGGACGGAATATTCCCTAACGCTGTTAGGGTTTTCGTACGTGTGCCAGGCACGTGCCTGCGCATTGTCGCGCGTGTGGCAGTGCCTTGGTCGGCGTGTGAGGGTGTGTGGGTGATCAGAAAATTTTTCTAAAAATATGGGGATGTTCGTGAAGTTGAGTAGATCACGTTGGTATATTCAAACATCCCAATTGAGCAATGTATGAGAAGTTGTTACCTAGTTTTGAGTATGTGCTTAAAATAACATTAAAATAATTATTTCTCTTAGGTGAGACGTTTCCAGAGGACGAGCGCAGTCAAGTGAGGTTTGGGGGCTACGACCCTTCTACATATCAATGAGTGGGTCCTTTCCTTTCTATCGTATATATACATATGATTGATAATTCCACAAACGTGTTTAAGTTGATTTATGCATGTTACCGACACTAATTGATACGAACTACGAATGGCTTAATCCCTGTTTAGGGTATGTAGGCAGTCTAACGAGACATTATATGCAGCCATACAATAATTGAGACAATAGCATTGTGTGAGGAATTGAGAGATTGAGGTAAAGAATTGTAAGTAATGATTGTTGATTAAACTAATATCTAGTTGGACTTGTTCCCGATAATTATTCCCGAAATAAATAGTTCGGGTGTGGGGCATTACAGATTATGCATATTTCGTCATGTTATATATATGTATATATTGGTAAATGCTATGACATGGTTGAATATTAGATTGCATCATGGCATATCCATATGTATACTACAGGTAAGTTTAGGTGAGTTTATGGTATTACTTGAAATGATCGAGTTATGACATGACGATATTTATGCTTTAGGTAACTCTGACTTTGTCATACAGGTTGTAATGATAGGCAACTCTGACACTGTCGTACAGGTTGACCATGAGTCGTACATGTTATAATAGATGCAGTTAGAGCTCATAAACCTGCACCCCGGTGTTAGTGCTCTCGCCCGTGGCCTGGGCATAGTCCTTCATGTGATGTTCACCTCCCGCACCTTATGCTCACCCTGGATCCAAGGTAGGTGCACAGTCCTGTCGTACAGACCACTACAGGTGGTTCCGACTCGTAGGTGACCCGTGATTATTCGCACAATTTTCATGTGATCGTAGCACTTGAGCGTACTTATTTACACCCAATCCTGTCATACAGACCACTAGAGATGGTTCCGACTCATATGCAGGGATTTGTGATGAGCTATGGGTTCAGCCGTACATGCCATAAGAGGTGGATCCGGCAGACATATTACTTAGATATTGATGGATGAGATATAGATGAGTCGTACAGGTCACTATAGGTGACTCCGACTTATGAGCTAGCATTGATTGATGAGATATGGATGCAGTCGTATAGGTTACCATAGGTGACTCCAACTTGCATACTAGTATACTTCTGAATTTTACTATTAGTATACTTTTGATTTCATACTTACGTAGTATGATTTTCTGGGGAATTATACAGGTTTTTCAGTGAGGGGTTATTATATTTGAAAAGTGAAATGTGTTTTCAAAACTTTGTTTTCGCCCACTCACATTTTTCTGTTTTGCACCCCTCCAGGTTCTAGTAGCAAAGTTTCCGTATCGACGAGGATTCGTGGCACTTCTTAGTATAGGTGGCTTCTTATGAGGGTATAATCATTATCTTACCTTGCTATACTTTACTTATGCTCGGTATCACGCGTGAATTGGTTCATACCCGCTCACTGTGCACTCGTATATTGAGGCACTTTTAGGTTTAAATTTATTCGTAGTTTACACATTATCACATATTTATGGCTTCGTCACCTTCGAGGTGTTGGCCAGAATAGATCGATTTGGAGTCCTAGCAGACAATCCGGGTCGGGGTGTGTCAGTTTGTATCAGAGTATAAGTTAGGCAGTATTATTTTCATCACACGGGTGATGTGGGCATTCTTGGTCCTTGTGTCTAATGTTTGAATCTTGCCACCTCGTCGAATACGGAAAATATGTTAGTTTTTCCTAAGTTTTGGGAAGATCTGTTTTCACACAAATTTTTTGACTACACTCCCTACACTAGGTATATGTGAGAAGATTAATGTAAGCATGTAGACTAATACTCACATATGTATAATTAAAGAAGGCACTTTCTGGAATTATTAACATGTATATGATCTCATGAATGGAATGCCACTACTTAGACGCGAGAACCAGGGATAGCATATGCTCAAACCAATTTTAAACTCCACATATTGAAACACATAACAATCAAGATCAAAGTCAAAGGGTTGTAACGGGGCTAAGGTATTGGCTAACAAAGAAAGGTAAGGATAAACAAAAGTTCTTAAAGCAATAGTAAGCAGAGTAATGAAATAAACACTTAGAATTCACTTTTGAATGTAGAAATCAACTTTGAACACCAAGGGACGATTCACATAAAACTTAGGGTCAAATTCAAACTTTTGGACCCTTTCTTCAACAATCAACACTTGTGAGTTCATTCTCACTTATTTTCAACTCTTTTTTCTTTCTTTTCTTCTTTTTTTTTTTTCAAGTTCCTTTTTTCTTTGTCACGTTTTTTTTTTTCGTGCCCTAATCTTTTCTTTGGCACATAAATCATCCATCCCCCTAGATTCCCACGAAAATCCTTCCCCCACACTTGGTTTTCTGTAAATTGTAGAACAAAAGGAATTCCCTCTAAGTCATGCTTTACTATACTTTAAGAACAAGGGTATGGATAGTCCTATTCTAGGCTAGGTAAGGATAATGTGGTTAACAAAGAAAATTAGGCTAACTAAGGCTCAAAGGGGTTAAACCTACAATACATATGCAAATGGGTAAGGCTTTTTGACTCTGGTTTAACTAAACAACTTCATCTTGTTATATGTTATGCACTCAATTTTATGCTTTGAATGAAACGGGCATGAGTTCTAGTATTTGGAACTATAGTGAGAAAACGCATTCTAAGTAGCAACCAAGCAAAGAATGATGAGATCATGCAACGACTTTAGAAAACAAGACATCAAGATTAATAACTCTCCAAAGAATGTTTAGGCTCAAATCTCTTAGGGTTGTAGCGTTAGTTTGAGTTCCTTCCTTCAAGCATGTTACAAAAACTTTTTTTTTTCCCTTTGTGATTACATGTGAATTCGTAAATGTCACCTACAACTAAGCATAAACCAAAGAGTATATCAAACTTCCATCCATGTTTGTAACGTTCTTTAATAGTCATGCAATTAAAAACCAAATGCTCATCATTGTGTTGGAAGGTATCCTAAGACACAAACAAAAACGACTCTCAAAACAACTCTTTTTGGGTTTTTAAAACACTCTTTTTCGATTTTTTTTTTCAAATTTTCGAATTTTCTGTTTAAGACACATAAAAAATACTTCAAAACACACTAAATGATTTTTCAGTCATTGCATTTCCACTAACAAGGTTAACTAGAAAGGATGTTAAATTTGAGTGGGATGATAATTGTGAGCAAAGTTTTCAATAGTTGCAGTATTGTCTCACTCGTGCACCTGTTTTGGCGCTTCCAAATGATAGTGGTAATTTTGAGATCTATAGTGATGCATCATTAAATGGCATAGGTTGTGTGTTGATGCAGCATGGTAGGGTGATTGCTTGTGCGTCGTGACAGTTGAAGCCTTATGAAATGAATTATCCTACTCATGATCTTGAGTTAGTAGCTATTGTCTTTGCTTTGAAGATTTGAAGACATTATCTTTATGGTGAAAAATGTAAGATTTTTATGGATCATATAAGTCTTCAGTACCTTTTCACTCAGAGGGATCTTAATCTTCGACAATGAAGATGGATTGAATTGCTCAGTGATTATGATTGCATGATTGAGTATCACTCTGGTCGTGCAAATGTGGTGGCAGATGCACTTAGTAGGAAGCCTTAAGGGAGAATTAATGCTTTGCACGCTTGTCATGTTCCTCTTCTTATGGATTTGAGGTCCACTGGAGTGAAGTTAGGGGTGGAAGCACAAGAGGAAGCTTTACTTGCTAATTTTCAGGTCAGGCCGATACTAATTGATCGAGTGCTTGAGGCTCAAATGAATGATGAGGGAATTCAAGAGTTAATTCGGGCAAGAAATGAAGGGAAAAAGAAAGATCTCAGAATTCGGGAGACTGATGACATGCTTATACAGGAGAACATAATGTATGTGTTGAATAATGTGGAATTAAAGAAAGAAATTTTGAATGAAGTGCATATCTCGGCATATGCGATGCATCCTGGAGGTACTAAAATGTATCATACCATTCGACCATTTTATTATTGGCCGAGCATGAAAAAAGAAATTGCTGAGTATGTGAGTAGGTGTGCCATTTGTTAGCAGGTTAAAGTTGAAAGGAAAAAGCCATTTGGATTAATGCAGCCATTTCCTGTTCCAGAGATGGAAATGGGAAAATATTACAATGGATTTCTGTATAAATTTCCTCGTACACGGAATGGTTATGATGGTGTTTGGGTGATTGTTGATCGGTTTACTAAATCAGCACACTTTATTCCAGTAAGGGAGAAATATTCTTTAAGCCGATTAGCTGAATTGTTCATATTGAAGATTGTTAAGTACCATGGGGTTCCAGTCAGTATTATCTCGGATCGGGATCCTAGATTCACTTCTAAATTCTGGGTGACATTTCAGGAGGCTCTTGGTTCGAGGTTACTTTATAGTACGACATATCATCCAGAGAATTTTAGAGGACTATTCAAACATTGGAGGATATACTGAGATCATTGGTATTGTAGTTTGGTGATGAGTGGCATCATCGTTTAGATTTGATGGAGTTTGCCTACAACAATAGTTACCATTCGAGGATTGGTATGTTACCTTTTGAGGTACTTTATGACAAGTCTTGTTGTACGCCATTATGTTGGTTAGAAGTTGGTGAAAGAGTTTTGGTGGGCCCCGAGATTGTAGATGAGACTACTCAGAATACTCAGGTAATTAAATCTAACTTGAAAGCGGCCCAGGATCGACAAAAGAGTCTAGCAGACAAGCATGCCACTGATTGAGTGTATAAAGTGGGTGATTGAGTATTTTTGAAGCTATCGCCATGGAAAGGTGTGGTACGGTTCGGGAAAAAGGGTAAGCTAAGTCCTAGATACATCGAACCATATCTAATCACCGAGTGAGTCGATAAAGTTGCTTACAGGCTTAAGTTGCCTCCCGAGTTATCTAAAGTGCACAACGTTTCTCATGTTTCCATGTTTCGTCATTATGTTTCAGACCCATCACATGTGATACCTCCTCAACCATTGGAAATTAATCCAGACTTGACTTATGAAGAGGAACCAGTGACGATTTTGGATTGGAAGGATAAGGTTCTGAGGAATAAAAACGTGCGTTTAGTGAAAGTTTTGTGGATGAATCACTCGGTGAAGGAAGCCACTTAGGGGACAGATGAGCGTATGAAGGAAATGTATCCACGCTTATTTTATGGTTATTAGTGGGTTGTTACATTATTATATGAAATTTCGGGGACGACATTTTCTTAAGGGGGGTAGGTTGTGATAGCCCGTCTCGAAATATATTTTCGATAGCTTGAAATGACCATTTTGCCCTTGAACGTTGTGTGGTTGTGTGTGTAAATGGGCTAAGCTTTTGGACCAATCTATTTTTCTTCCTAACTTTTTAGACCCAATTGGAAGTAAGATTTTGTTGGTTTTGTTTGGTTGCCAACTGGACCACACTCGCACAAATACATCCAATCCTGTTGACCCCCTCTTTCTCTCTCCTCCCTCTCGGATTTTTCAATTCGTTCGTACACTCGTACGGTCATCTCCTCAACTCTCGTCATATCTCACGGATCGAGTTGTTTAAGACCACCATCGTACTCCTCATGACTTCATGAGTTGAGTAGTACCTTTGGAACGACGAACGGTTCATGGGAACTCGAGTTACCCAAACTTCGGTGAGGGCTGATTTTCCTCTAACATGATTGTGAATGTTTTAAGTGGTTTTGAGACTTAAGAAGGTAATATTCTTGCTTTTCTAGCACGTTGGATCAATTTTGGAGTGGTTTTGACGTAAGAACACTCAGGTTTATATAGTTACAGGGTTTGGCCGGTTTCCTCAAATTTTTCCTGCGAGATTCCGTTGGTTTTAGGACCTCAAAGTGATAAGATTGTGTTCTTCTCATCCTAAGCTTCATTTTGGTGGAAATTTCATGAATTTTGGTTGAGAAATGAAGAAGATATGAAGATTTGAAAATTTTTCAGAATCCGGCAATCGCAGATGACGGCTAACGGCGGCTCCGGCGAGGATCATCGAAGAAGACGAAGAATATTCCATCAACTTTGACGGAATATACTAACGGCGTTACTAACGGTATCAGGTATATTTAACAGTATATTCCCTAACGCCGTTAGGGTTTTCGTACGTGTGGCCTTGCCTTGGCCGGTGCGTGAGGGCGTGTGGGTGATCGAAAATTTTTTCTAAAAATATGGGGATGTTCATGGGGTTTAGTAGATCACATTGGTATATTCAAACATCCCAATTGAGCAATGTATGAGAAGTTATTACCTAGTTTTGAGTATGTGCTTAAAATAACGTTAAAAATAGTTGTTTCGCTTAGGGGAGACGTTTCCTGAGGACGAGCGTAGGCAAGCGAGGCTTGGGGGCTACGACCCTTCTACATATCAGTGAGTGGGTCATTTCTTTTCTATCGTACATATACATATGATTGATAATTCCACAAATGTGTTTGAGTTGATTTATGCATGTTACCTACAATAATTAATGCGAACTACGAATGGCTTGATCCTTGTTTAGGGCATGTGGGTAGTCTAACGAGATGTTAGATGTAGTCATACAATAATTGAGACAATAACAATATGTGAGGAATTGAGAGATTGAAGTAAAGAATTGTAAGTAATGATAGTTGATTAAACAAATATCTAGTTGGACTTGTTCCCGATAATTATTCCCGAAATAAATAGTTCGGGAATGGGGCATTACAGATTATGCATATTTCGCCATGTTATATATATGTATATATTGGTAAATGCTATGACATGGTTGAGTGTTAGATTGCATCATGGCATATCCATATGTATAGTACCTATGAGTAATTACTGTGAATGCTTTGAAGTGCGAAGAGGAACACATGATGCACAGGTAAGTTCAGGTGAGTTTATGGCATTACTTGAAATGATCGAGTTATGGCATGACTATATTTATGCTTTAGGTAACTCCGACCTTGTCATACAGGTTGCAATGATAAGCAACTCCAACACTGTTATATAGGTTGCCCATGAGTCGTACATGTTATAATAGATGCAATTAGAGCTCATAAACTTGCACCCCGGTGTTAGTGCTCCCGCCCTTGGCCAGGGCACAGTCCTTCAGATGATGTTCACCTCCCGCACCTTACGCTTACCTTGGATCCAAGGTAGGTGCACAATCCTGTTGTACAGACCACTACAAATGGTTTCGACTCGTAGGCGACCCGCGATTATTCACATAGTCTTCACGTGATCGTAGAACTTAAGTGTACTTATTTACACCTAGTTCTGTCGTACAGACCACTAGAGGTGGTTCCGACGTGTGCAGGGATATGTGATGAGCTATACGTTTAGCCGTACAGGCAACAAAAGGTGGATCTGGCTAACATATTACTTGGATATTGATGGATGAGTTATACAGGTCACTATAGGTGACTCCAACTTATGAGCTAGCATCGATTGATGAGATATGGATGAGTTGTACAAGTCACTATAGGTGACTCCGACTTATGAGCTAGCATTAAATAATGAGATATAAGTGCAGTCGTACAGGTCACCATAGGTGACTCCGACTTGCGTACTAGTATGGGTTATTAAGCACATGATTATTTATATTGCTAATGAGATGTTGTGTCATGGTATACTTCTGAAATTTACTTTTAGTATACTTTTGATTTCATACTTACGTAGTATGATTTTCTGGGGAATTATATAGGTTTTTTAGTGAGGGGTTATTATATTTGAAAAGTGAAATGTGTTTTCAAAACTTTGTTTTCGCCCACTCACATTTTTCTATTTTGCGCCCCTCTAGGTTCTAGTAGCAAAGTTTCCGTATCAATGAGGATTCGTGACCCTTCTCAGTATAGGTGGCTTCTTATGAGGGTATAATCATTTTCTTACCTTGCTATACTTTACTTATGCTTGGTATCACGTGTGAATGGGTCCATACCCGCTCACCGTGCACTCGTATATTAAGGCACTTTTAGGTTTAAATTTATTCGTAGTTTACACTTTATCACATATTTATGGCTTCGTCACCTTCCAGGTGTCGGCTAGCACAGCTCGATTCGGAGTCCTAGCGGACAATCCGGGTCGGGGTGTATCATATGAATGTATATTTTTTTTTAAGTTTTTATTTTATTTTAATGAATTAGAAAATGTTTATATTTAATTACAGTATAATCTAGCATTTATATTGTTTTTTTTTGTTTAACATAAGTGTTTTTTAATAATTTTTATTCCGTGTAAAGTATTTTTATTGGTCTACATTGCTAACATCTGACATTTTAACGGAAAATCAGACGGTATTAGACAATAGAGGGACCAATTTTAACAAGTCAAGTTCCTTAATATACACACACACAAAATAAAAATAAATAAAAACTAGTTGATAAGGTCAAATGACACCTTTATCTTTAGAATTAATCACGTATTGGATTCGATTTTCGGTGTTTGTGAATCACATGATAGTGGTTAAGAAAATACTAAAATGCCTCTATGAGTATTGCTGACAGCTGAAAGGGAGGAATCTTGTAGCGAAGCTGCTAGCTGATCCATTTTTAAAAAATAATTTAAAATCTTTATAAGTAATCAATTTTGGTAACCCAAAATCAAAGCACCAATGGCCTTCATTAATAAGCAAGCAACATTCTTTTACCAATCCCCACCCCTTTCTCTATCTCGATCAAGTGACAAGACAGAGAGAGAGAGTTTGCATTGAAATTTAGGTGCATCAGATCCAAAGTAAGCAAGCAAACCAAAAAAAGGCATCGATCGGCCACCACACCACCATTTCATTGCACGTGAAACCAACTCTCTCTCCCTCTCTCTTTCCTAATTCTTCCTTCTTTAATTCTTCTTTTGCTCTATGTATTTACATTTTTCATGTAATTTGCTCATTGGTTAACCATAAAAATTTACTCAACTCTAAACAAATAAGGATGAACTGTCGATTTAGGGCTAGTTTGGAATTGTGGTGCTTTAAAAAAAAAAAATTTATTAAAAAAATCTTGAATATCAAATATGTTTGATAAAACAAAAAACAAAATTCTTTTTAAAAAAACTGTTGTTAATGACTATAGAAAAGTAGAAGCAGGGTCTACCATGCATCTAAAAAAAGTGTTTTTTTTTTTTTTCAAAGCATAGTAATCAATGTCCATTTAATGAAATTTTAAAATGGCAATTATACCCCCATATATTTTACAAAATTACAATCCTTGCCCCTATATTATTCTCTTTGACAATTATTATATTACATTAAATAACACATATTTTTTAGTCATTTAACATATTCACAACAATTTATATAAAAGTTTACCAAACACTCAGACACTTTTTTTTACAAAAAAAAAATGTTTATCAAATACTCAACAACTTTATTTTACAGTTGTTTATTCTCATAGCTCAGCAAAATTAATTTTCTTAAAAGCACAATACCAAACTAGCCCTTGGTCTCTGAATTATCACCGAATGAAATTAGGTCCCTGAAATTATTTTCAAACCTCTCGCACATAATGGGTTATTAACGTAATTTCATTTGTTAAATAGTTAGGATAGTTTTTCGGGAAGTGCTATTAACACTACAAAAATTATTATTTAATCCATGAAATAAGTAAGAAGAGTATGCTGACTTTTTTTTTTGGTTGACAACAAGGCATAGACCCTTTAAAAAAGAAGAAAATTACAATAGAATACCATGAGGCCACAAGATCTCAACTATATCTACAACTAGCAACTAATGACAAGAAGGAGAAGCTTGTTCAAAAAATGCTGGACCAAAACTGTATGACAAACCCAAACGAGCCAAATCATTAGTGACAAAATGCTTTTCATGATAATATGCTGACTTTTTTTTTTAATGCTAATAACAATTTTCTTTTATAATATTAAAATAATATATTTTGAAGAGGAATGTAAGGATAAAGCCCCACTTTCTCTTGCAAGCACACACAAAATTATTTATTTTTGGTTAATGAACCCTCACTTGTGCAACTGATAGGAGCATATTTATGCGACTTTGGTAGTTTATGTTATTTTCGTATTATTGTAGGTCCAGTTGGTAAAGATGACAATAAATGGCAAAATGGAGCAATTTTGAGCAGTTTTGGACTTGGATTGGATAGCAAGCATGGATAGCCTATGGACTGAACATTTTTGGTGTTTAAATGGTG